ATTCTAGAGCACGTTTAATCTTGAGAAGGTGGACAATTTTGATTTCTGCCAGACATTGTGGCTTTCTATTCAACCATTAAATTGACTTATTGTTCAAGGGCTTTCTGGCACCGTTTTTAGACCGAAGGGATGTCCACCCGAGTGGAGGCGTTCACCGGGAGAGGTATATTAGACGTCTGACGTCTCGGGTAGTCACTTCGGGGACGTCAACCATCTCCGTTGTGGACGAGGGCGTGGCGATTCAGGTCACGGTGACGAGCAAGTCAGATGCGGCTACGCCGACGACATTGACGGACTACGCATTAATCAAAGTGTGCCGTATAATGAGAGTTGTGCGCATGACTTCGCAGTCTCCGAAGGTGGGTAGTCGAAGTTATTACTCGAAAAGTCAGACTTATAATAAACCTCTTCTGGTGGACGCCTCCTCCTCATTTGATATGTCGCCTGAGAATCGCATTTTCATTACGATTGATGATGACTACCAAATTGGCGGGTTCCCTTTTATTGCTGCAACACGCCTACTTATTTTACTTTTATAGGCTGTCATAATCGGCTTTTGTATCTGACCAAGAACAAGAAAATGCTTTAATTTAAGGTTGTGGTTGTGATTAGGTTTAAGGTTGAGATTGGGTTAGGTGTTAGATTTAGGGAAAGCTTAGAGATGGAGTTCTGATTAGGGTTATGGTTACGTTCGCCTGCCGCATATCGTCTTACCCAATCTAGTCTTCTCCAACCAGTAACCTTGGATTGTCTGTTTTAGGACCGTTTGCATTCTCTAATTCACAATTTTTAACTTGCGCCATCTGTCCGGTTCCCCGTTAGTTTATTAAAACAGGCATCCAGCGGAAATGCGGGCTTTCTTAATGTCTTCCGCAGATCCCGTTAAGTGCCGCGTCAATCTGTTATATGAAAAAATTAATGTTTACTTTTTTCCTGTATTACAGGGGTCCCTGGGCTGCATTGTCTCGTTGGGTTTATACTTCCAGTCCTCTACATCAACCCACCCGTTGGTTGGTGGTAGTACACATGTTGAGGCAGTGTTTTTAATGGTTTGAATTGTAGCGGCTTAGCAGCGAGAATGCAGTCAGAACGCTACAATCAGCAGGTCAAATCGCATGCTGTAGTAAAAGATAGACAACACCAGAATGAGGGGCTTATTGTATATAGAACCCCAAGTTGTCTTCTCAGAATGCAGTGGCTGTTGGCGAAGCCAAGATTATTGTTGGCCGTGTCCACTCATGTCTGAGGGCCTTGATGACAGTGGTAGCAACTGCTTTCATAGGTTTATCGGCCAAGCTCAATTGGTGTGTGTGTGTGTGTGTGTGTGTGTGTGTGTGTGTGTGTTGTACTAGCAAAGGGCTGGTGTTCAAGTTGCCTATGTCGTGTTAGCACATATGTGGTGTTTTCTAATGGTGCAGGGACAGCTAAAACCTTGAAGACGCACGTACGTCCGAGTGTGGGTTATTCGAATGGTTGTATGTCAGCGCGTCTGGAACGGCTCGTTTTGAGAGTGAATGGCCTTGGCGCGACGGTGCCTTGAACAAGGACGCCAGATATGACCATACTGGGGTAAGGGTATGGTTTTCACCCGGAGTCACTTACTTCAGGGAGCAATTGTGCTAAAAGTAGACGACTGGGAATATTTTTTTAGATTCCACAGAAAGGAGTGAAAGGACATTTCGGTGGCTGCTGCGTTAAGTTGGTCAAGAAACTTTAGGGTATCCGTCGGAGTAAAAATACGACAATGCAAGGCCTTTTTGACAATGCCTCAAAATGGGCGCCAAATTTATTTATTATTATCATGCGGGCCTTTCGAATTCAGTTTGAAATTTTCGAGCTCCAACGGATTTGCCTTTCCCGAGATTTCTGCCGACTGGACGCTCTGAAGGCCTATTTGGATTTAGAAACTGGCTCGTAAACAATAATTACTCGATCCACACGGAACTTCGACAGGACTTTCTCTGAGACAACCATTCTCTTTCGGACCACTTCTTTGCCAACAGTCCCGCGGGATCCCCCATTCCAAAGACGCCTGAGTCGCTTGTTACTTGCTTCATATCGTTTCCTACTTGCTTCTTATCGTTCGTCTGGTTAAATAGCTCTTCGAACATCCCTAACAACTTCTCCAGTTTATATACTTGAAAATGGTAGTTGAACAAGTGCCTTCGGGATGTTGCTCAAGAAGTGCGCCCATGTGGGATTCGAACCCAGTCAAGGAGGTGACGAGGGCGGCGTCGCTACCAATGGACCACAGACGCGCAGCAGACGAGCTAAAAATAATAATGTAATAAACAATGCGCATTGTCTAAATGAATGTAATATCGGCTTCCCCATTATCAAACCTTCTGCCAAACGGGCAAGGAGTTTAGTAACCTTAATGGATGTCAACTACAAGAACGAACATAAAACACATGCTGCGTGTTTTAGACTTCTCCAGAAAGTTTTGGAGATGGAGAAAGAGATAAAAGACCTCATAATAGAGATGGGGAAGTTGACGAAACTTCCTCGCCATTCACCCGTAAAGAGAAAGTCGGCGATGTCAGACCCTCAGAAAACAAAGAGAACATATTCAAGCACAGTCTCATTAACTGGATCAGCCGCCAAGAAAGAAGACTGCCCGTCTAAAGAAGAAATCACAACTGAGAGCCGACCTCTTGTGCAAGAAAAGAACGACAGAGAGGGATCTCAGGAAACGCAGAAGCGCCCCGGGGCATCCCGAAAAGAAAAAGAAGGTCAGACTGTTCGTACGAGAGAGCAGAGTCCACACACAATGCCAGCAAATACCACACTGCCGAACGATGTATCGCACGACTCGGTTGGTGAGGAACCCTGTGGTAGCTACGCCATCACCGCTGTCTCTGAGTCAAACGATGACAACGGAAATTGGCGAAATGCTGAACGTGCGTGTAAAAATAAACGTAGGGACTCTCTTCCAGACAGGCATCTTTACCGAAAACGAAACATCGTCATAAAGGGAGCTCCTGAGTCCAATTCTTCGACTGCAAAAGAAAGAATCGAACACGATCTCAACCTCTTTCAAACATATTCAAATGCCGTCCTTCAGGACGGAGAATGTGTTACCGTGCACAAAGCTTTCCGTCTAGGAAACGCAGATGCGTCGCGTGCATTACCAAGGCCTCTTAAAATTATTCTTGCAAATGAAGCCCAGGCCTCACATCTCCTGGAAGGGAGGATGGCCCTTCGTCATTCGCATAAGGAAGTGTTTTTTTCAGCCGGATTACGAACCGACAGAAAGACACAAGATGAGGGAGCTCTGGACAGAACTGAAAAGAAGGACAGAAGAGGGGGAGAAGGGGTTGAAAATAAAGGAATGCAAGATAATACAGATCAAACGATCGCTCCTGTGGCTAACCCCCTTTGTAATCAGGGCCAGTTCCCCCCGAGAAGACGGACACTAAAGGTGCTGTATTCGAATATGCAGAGCCTGTTTAACAAGATGGATGAACTCAGGACTCTGATCGACGAGCACACGCCAGATATCATCGCCTTGACAGAAACATGGCTTTCTGAAGCTATTGGAGACCATGAGGTATCCCTCAGAGGCTACCAACTGTTCAGAAATGACAGGAGAAGCCGAGGAGGAGGGGTCGCTGTCTATGTTAGCTACAACCTAACCGCGGTCCCCGAGCATAATCCAACAACAACAGCGGAAGTCGAATTCCTATCTTTAACTATCTCCACCAAATATGCCAGGCCGCTGGCGTTTGCAGTTGTGTATCGTCCCCCAAATCAGATTTCCGAACACGATAGCCTTCTCCTAAGGGAACTGAGCAAGACCTGCTCGAACAGAGACGTCCTTATTGTAGGGGACTTTAACGCCCACAATATCGACTGGCAAGCTTGGACGGTTGCGGGTCCATCGAACACATTCGGGCAACATTTGCTTGAATTGGCAGCAGAAAAACTACTTTTCCAGAATGTAACTCTCGGAACACGTGTTAGGGAAGGGCAACGTTCAAATTGCCTCGATCTGGTGCTCACTCGAGATGAGGAGTGTGCTGGATATACAAGATCTCCCGCCAATTGGTGCTAGTGATCATATTGTGATGCTCTTCGAGTATTCCATGTTCTCTCAGCCTAATTCACCTGAACAATTACAGGCAAATATCTGGAAGGGGGATTTTTCTAGCATGCGAACGCAAGCCTCAGCAATACCGTGGACAACCACATTACAAGGAACAGTTAATGACTATTGGAGCACGTTCAGCTCACTGGTCAAAAGAATCGTTGATCTGAACTGTCCACTCAGACGAAAGAAAACTAGCAACCGTCCGCCGTGGATAAACCGGAAACTTCAAACCGCGTTTAAGAGGAGAACTAAAGTGTGGAGACGCTATCGACAGACAGAAAGTCCCGAAGACCTGACGGAATACAAGCGACAGCGGAATGCGTGTAAACGCGAGGCTCATAGACTTCGAAGCAACTATGAGCTCTGCATATTACAAAATTCCTTGGAGCATCCTAAAATCCTCTATAGTTACATACATAAGGGACAGAGCAATCGTGAACCGATTCCAGCGCTAAGATCCCAAAACGGAGTAATTGAGACGGAGGACCACCTGAAAGCATCAGCCTTCTCCAATTTCTTTCAGTCGGTATTCACTCATGACACAAAACCTCCTGCCATGCCATATGTAGACCAACGACAATATCCCTCCTGTCCTGCATTGGAAGACAATCTTTTCTTCTCACCTACGTTGATAAGGACCGAACTACGCCGGCTGAAACCTGCCAAATCACCTGGTCCAGATGGAATTCATCCACTTGTCCTCCGAGAATTAGCTGATGTACTCTGTGAGCCGGTGTCCATGATATTTCGGAAGTCCATGAAAGAAGGCGAACTGCCGGAGGAGTGGAAAACGGCCCATATTTCTCCAATCTATAAAGGAGGATCCAGACTAGAACCCGAAAACTACCGTCCTATTAGTTTAACCTGCATTCTATGCAAGGTAATGGAACGACTTATTAAAGGGCATTTAATGTCGTATCTGGAGCAGAGGGACCTGTTATGTGCTGCTCAGCACGGATTTCGTCGTGGTCACTCCTGTCTTACAAGCAGTCTTTACTCTCAGGAAAAGTGGACAAGAGCCACAGACCAGGGCCGTCCAGTGGACGTCATCTTCTTTGACTTTAAGAAGGCGTTTGATAGCGTTCCTCATGGACGACTCCTACAGAAGATTTGGGAGTGTGGAATACAGGGCAGCATTTTCAATTGGATTAAAAGTTTCCTGTCATGCAGGCTCCAAAAAGTCATCGTTGGTGCCACTACATCCGAATGGGTGCCAGTAAAAAGCGGCGTTCCGCAGGGCTCAGTCTTGGGTCCTCTCCTCTTCCTCATCTATATAAATGACTGTCCTGCAGACCTTGAATGCGATGGCATCATGTTTGCGGATGATATAAAGATCTGGAAAACAATCAGCTGCGTTGAAGATGCGCAAAAGCTACAGGAAGATGTTAATAAGCTGGCTGCGTGGTCCAGCAAGTGGATCCTAGCGTTCAACGTATCCAAGTGTGTAGTCTTGCGACTAGAATCTGGACGGAGGCGCTTCCCAAAACATCAGTACGTCATAAATGGGGTTCCACTAAATGAAGTGGACACGCACAAAGACCTAGGTGTCTGGACATGCTCAAACTTGCTGCCCTCTCAGCACTGCAAAAGAGTCGTCCAAAAGACAACCAGCACCATGCACTGGATTAGGCGTGCCTTCAAAATCTTTCCTCCAGAACTCTTCTCACAGATATTCGGCACATTCGTCAGACCGCTCTTGGAACACGGAATGCCATCATGGATGCCCTGGATGAAGAAAGACAGTGATGCCATAGAGCAGGTGCAACGACGGGCCACAAAACTGGTGGACGGTCTCAGGACTCTGTCATACCCAGAAAGACTGATCTAGTTAAATTTATTCCCCCTATCCTATAGAAGAATGAGGTGTGACCTATTATGGACATTCCGCATTATCCACGGGCATGAATGTTCGCTCAAAACTGACGACTTTTTTGAATTCACGACCACGAGTCACCTGCGCGGTCACCCTTACAAAGTCAAGCGGGAGCGTACACGCCTGGACAATCGGAAGTTTTCCTTCAGCCAGCGTGTTGTTCGGCCATGGAACTCACTCCCAAGTGAAATAGTGACATCTGATACAATCGCTGCATTCAAAAGGCAGCTGGATCGTTTGATATTTGATAAACGACGACTTTCACAACAGGACTACCTGCGGCCAGCCATAAATTTCATTTCTTGATTTCATCCCTACTTAACACACCCCTGACTCTTAATGAGATGCCCCCTCTCAAACTATGCAAATGACTGCACTTTATGCTGATTGTATATAACTGCACTTAAAATTTCATGTGTACACTGAGAAGACCGCCTGCCGCACCCTTAGCAGTCCCGCATTCCGAAAGTTTCCCGTGAACAAATATGTTACTGACAAAATTTTAGTAAGATGTACATTTAACATTTATATTTTATGTACCGTTTTCAATAGGGTCATCAAGGGCATTGCCTATTACCCTAAAATACAATACAATAAAATACAATACAATACAATTAAATGGTAAATGTAGTGTCCTGTTTTGACTGGTGACAGTATGGAGGATCCGAATTTGTAATATTACAAAGTCCTTAGATGTTCGGCTCATTTCCTCAACACAACTGCTCCCCCGAGTAAGTGACCACGGGCGTAAACCATACCCTTGCCCATAATGGCTGTGGACGACAAGATGTTGGTGCAGGTAGAAGCACAAACCGAACCGGTTGATAATCATCTACAGAACGAGGTATGTCGTGGGAATTTCCATAAGCCGTACTGGTGAATTTTAATCCTCTCTTCGGCGATGAGTACCTCAGGGAAAAGGCCTCTTAAATATAAGAGTCGACTGTATGATTACACTGTCAACCAGGAGTAGGTCTCATACAGCAGATAAATAGTTCAACCGGGATCCTCTTTCTGAACTTTTTCAATAATGTTGAACATAAGGCATGGAATTCTCAGCAGACATATAAAAACGTAACAGCAGAGGCCGGACACAAAGCGACCGATAGCACAACTACTTATATAACCAAAAGCAATGGCAAAATACAAAAGGTACGTGGGCTTCTTTTGATATTTACTTTCAGATAAAAAACATCAGTACCCAGGGAAGTAGAGAATGACGTGCGACAGTACTTAAAAGCAGCCAGAAACAAACACATGGTCCATCATTATAATTATTACATCGAACGTCAGTTTACATACATTATCAAAGTAAATATAATATATGGATCTAGGTAACCGTGAAAAAAGAACCCGTACAGTTGGTCGGGTTCTGGTTACTCAGGACAAGTCATGAGAAAAAAACATGCAACCCGAAAAATGACATCAGTCCAGAACAATAATAGCTGGCATGAGTACACTGGGATTCTGCAGTCTCGATTCATTTCCTTGAAATTGGGCATATGTACCAGACAAGAGTGCATGGATGAATAGTTGCTCGCCGCCGGACTAGGACTTTGTTTGCTAAGTGACGAACTGCAGAGTCAACGTCATCCTCTTCGAGATGACGCCAGGCATCGAGGTTAAAGACAGCGAATTTCATCCGTATGGAAAATAAATTCAGAAGATATGGCGCCCTAGAATTGCGGAAGACGATCTGCATGTGGAGAGCAGGTGATGATTAGTTTAAACAAAGAGCAATTTTGCATGATTTCTATGCCCTTGGGTAACTTATTCCACATTGCAACTGCGTTAACGGAGACGCAATGACTAGACTTCTTACAGTGGCTGTCGCATTAGCGGAAGACGAGATGCTTCAAATTAGTAAGCAGACAAATTCAAGTGTTTACCAATAAAAAGGTCTCTTTTTAGTCGGCAGACAACAAAAGATCAAGGCTTGTGAGTCTACTAAGTGTCTGGTTAGACGAATTTCGGTGTTCGGATGTCGGTACCCTTTTGGTAAAAAATGCTGGGCAGATTGTGCCGCCCAGCAGCACGCAAGAGACCAAATAGAAATAAAATATATTCCAGGTCACGTCAAACGTTCATGTTACAGAGGTCGGTTTTAATGTCGTTGGTTTTAAAATTCTGGAGCATAAATCCGGCCGTGGTGTGTGCTTTAGAAACAGTCTGCGCGAAATGCTCTGAAATATTGGAGACTCTTGGAATATGATATACCCGACTCCCTAATAACGCCTGGCACATTTGTGGCGTGACCGTCAATGCGTAATTTAGGTTAATGGTAGTCGTCAATCACCACAACTGAGCATTTATGTCAGGAAAAGGGAAGGCGTTGCGTGCAGCATAACTGGACAGGAGCCTGGGGGTCACTTTTAAAGATTTCGTGTGCGCTGTCGCTATCCGCCAGTTTGTATCTGCAGACAACTTTCAAACCATTATCAGCATCGTGATCAGGGCCGATCTGAAAAGGAAAAGTGCACATTAATTTCACGGGAAAAGTTCTCTTTATACACCTAAAGTGGTATGTCTGCGATTACATCTGCCAAATCTGCTTTGATTTATTAATCTTCGGCCAACCTGGCAACATATTACCCTATGAAAACTTTTATTCCTATGACATCTCTTTCGGCGAAATCAAGCAAAACCCTGTTTGTTTTATTGAATTGCTTCTGAACCAATGCATGGCATGAAAAATGCAACGATTTTCCCCAAAAACTATTGTTGAACGTTATTCTATTTGTAATGTCATATTTGCTCATTTTTGCAAGGGCAGGTTTTCTGTACATCTAAAACCGACGTTTAAACAATAATGACCATTTTTGACGTTTTCCGAATCTTCACCTTTTCAAAAAATGACATTTCTAAACAACGTAGCATTGCCCTTAATATCTTGATGTTCCCCATTCCCCTAAAGATCTGCTTTATTAATATAGATAGTGGGTCCATGCACTATTGTCGGTTTGCTAGTGATCTGCAATCATTCGTAAACTACTACACCTTTCATTTTTTGGGCATCTACTGCACATAAAAGGCCTACCACTCCGAAGTAAGTGTGGGACATCAATGGCAAACACACAGAAGAGGGGCGGATTAAACACTCTGTCCTGGATAAATCCCCCTCACACATGTGGGCTTGGAGGAAATACTGGAAGTCTTAACGCGCTGGATGCCAGAGCCCAGATAGGAGTATATTAACTTCGGAATTTCACCACTTATTCCAGTCTTGGGAACTTGTTGTGACGAGGCCCGCCTCGTCTTCAATGTAAAATCAAGAA